TGATAAACGCTACTACTGTCGAAACTGGATTTCTGTATCCGTCGACCCAAGATAGTTGCACACGCGTAAGCGTTGCCCTTGCTATTTTTTATTATTGTTTCTCGTCTAGTACGTGATCCATAACCACTCCCCTTATTGCCTTGTGTGCGTACATTCTCATTTCAAACTCCCTTTATACGGCAGGGCAGTTAAAGCTGTAAGCGCCCGAACTGACGACTCCGTTATCACTTGATCTATCATTTCTCACTCTAAACATCCTACGGGACATGTCAAGCACCTGCTTTTTTACCCAGTATAAATCACTGTTCATTGTTCATCCTACACAACACAGTTTACCCCTCCGCTTTGCCACAATCAAGAGCACCTATCATCTGCTCTTCCAACGCTGACAGTGGCGACAACAGCAACAAATATGTGCGACTATTTAAGGGCCCATAACGCTCTGTATCTGCCATGCAGAGCAATTCATGCATCAGGACCCCTCTTATCCACCGAGCAAAAGTTCCAACTATTTTACAGACAGACAGTGGTAAAAGCTATCAATGCGTTGCTGGTCATGGCGCCCACAAGACGCACATTCTTGCCGCGGCTGTTCGCAACGGTACACGGTGATACACCTCCCCGCAGTGAGTGACCCTTGGTGCGAACGCGTGTGTACGTAACCGCCAATTGACAATAAGGACGTCATATGCAATCCATACTTTTGTTAAGGGAACACAAATGCTTGGTGACCTGCTAACATCGACTAGGTAGCATGAGGGCGATGCATATCATCGGATAACGATTCCAATCATATAGCCTGAGGCGATTTTTCACCAACTTACCAGGCCACCTAGCCTGAAATAAAGCAAGCATCGGGTAATAGGAGAGGCTAATTTCAGTCTCCGTAGCGTTGTTGTGCCGGGATTGTTGGTGGCTATTTACGATGGTATCCAACCGTCTCATGCCCTCTAATCTTTGTTACCGTGTATACGACGGCGTGCGTCCCATTAACAAGGAAACCACAATGTATCCTTGATACATCAAATTCCTCCTTTCACAAGGTATACCAGCGATTGCGGACGGCACACTACCCCTACCCGCAAGATTATTAGCAATGGACTCGTTCCCAATGCTCCCACACATATGTACCGCTCACATAACCCGCGATTACAATGGCTCACACAACGGTGACGTGAACAATGAGTCCATCATTTATAGCATGTTTCCACTACTTTTGATTGACGCCAGATGGATTATCAACAAACGGTATTTCCTAAGCATGCTTGCACATTTAAATGAGCTGCAAGCATTCCTCGTTACCGAAACCTGGTGCCCCGCTAATATATTAGACTGTAATCCAATTACCTCCCCCTTTAACACCTTTTTCGTAAAGGTCGCTGTAAAAGAAAAGGTGGTAGATGCTTCATGTAACTCATTCACACATGTACAGCTGAACGGTTTGAACATCCACCACTGGCAAATGTCCCTGGTTCTCCGTCTCAGGAGCCTCGATTTACTTGCATCTGTCCGCAAGCTGCCAAATTCATCAATCATAAATGTTGTCCGTATCACCTCAGGTTTCTATTTTGCATCGAAATTGGCACACAAACGAAGGATTTTTGTAGGTGATTTCAACATACCGAAGATACACTGGTCTTCGCAGACCTTCTTGGTTATACACAAATCCTTCATTTCTTCAGTCAGGGTTGGTTGGACACAGTGAGTTACTATACTAACTAGGTTGACGAACATATTGGACGTGAAGCTTGCATTGGATATGACTAAGGTACACAGAGAGGTTTCAGAGAACATCAATGGTAGCGACGGCAACATGATACTAATAGCGAGGTAAGCGGAGCCAGTGTCCAGATACGAGGTCGCGCACAGGCTTACCGAGGAGCATGTGAGCTCTCTGCTGCATGCGAAGGTCACCAGCACGAGCGTGGAACGACCTTCGGCTGTTTTGTCAAATTTGGGAGTCGGGTGCAAACTGAGTGGCCAGCACATGCAAGCCCGAGTCAACGGAGGCGAATCATTCTGCCAAATATGGAGTTAACTCACATTGGCTGAGAGCCAAACACTTCCAAAATTAGTGTGTTTCGTTCACCAATAAATAGAACTGACTTATCGTGTAGAATAGATTCCCTGTTTACCGAGCCTTAGCCTTCTGTATGCCGTCGGTTGGTTGGGCGCGTGACTAAGCAATCAGGCGGTCGTAGTCTCGCAGGCGCAGAATAGCAGCAGTATGAAGGTAGCTTTACAACAGTGGCGACAGGAGTCAGAAGAACCCAAAGATGTCAGTCAGTTTTGGACAATTGCAGACTGTTGCAGCAACAGCAGGCGCAGTTTGAGAAAGCACAGGCCAAGTTGATCGAAACTCTGACCAAGTATTTGTCACTAAAAGCAGACTCGGTAACAGGAACAAGTGAACGTTGCCACTCAGCAGAAACCTTGACCCAGCAAGTTTGTGAGTTCCGTTACGATGCCGATGCCAGTGTTAGTTTTGAATCGGAGTTCCATAAATACGAAGACCAGTTTCGCGTTGATTTAGCCGGTGCTTCAGAGGACAAGAGAGTTCGCCTCATGCTGCGGAAGTTGGGTGCGGCCGAGCATGAAAAGTTTAGGAATTTCATCTTATTAGAGAAGAGTAGTAGGGGGAGTTGAATGGTATAGGTAGAATTTCGTCACATCTAGACTCACTCAGACAGCCGCCACATGCCCGGAAAAGCACTGTACGTGCGTTCCATCCTTTCGGGAATCATCAGCAGTGCGCATTCCATCGGACCCTTGGTAGGGCTCGAACCCGCAACTCGAATGTTGCCAGTCCGTGGTTGAGACCACTGAGCTACGGGGGACGGCAACGACCATGGTGAATAAGTTACTAGATGTGATATAGCGCTGCTCACTATCCACTGACTTACACGTTACTGCCGTGCAGAGGACAGGGAATTTCATCTTGTCGAAAAGGAGCACTGATTTAACATTCGATGAAGCGGTTGCTACTTTGTTTCAGATATTTGGAGAGCAGTCGTTATTATTCAATATCCGATACATGTGCCTGACAATGACCAAGCGAGACGACGAAGACTGGATCACTTACACGAGTAGCGTAAGTCGTGAGTGTGAACGTCGCTGTTTCACAAGGTGACAGCTGATCAGTACAAGTGCCTTATTTATGTGCGTGGTCTTCAAGCAACCAAAGATGCTAATGCCTGAACAAGATTACTGAGCAGAATTGAACAAAATCCCGAGATCACAATGCAGGAAGTGACGAACAAATGCCAACGGTTGATGAACTTGAAGCATGATGCTGCGATGATCCAACAGTCATCTATCCAGAGCAGTCAGGACATCATTTGCAGGAGCAGCCGAAGTCCTCAGAAAGAATGGGTTCATGTAAGTTCACCACTTTCTAAAGCCTCTACTTCTTGTTGGTTTTGCAGCGAATGGCATTTTGGTCGAAACTGCCCGTTCCGAAAGCACATTTGCAATCGCTGTGGTAAGCGAGGACACAAAGAGTCGTGTTGTCTTGTGAAGCGACCAATAATGAGTGAAATACGGCGTTGAATCCCGGTGCGCTTCCGATGTCACGACGAGGCCAAAAGTGCAGCTGGATACTGCGTCAGACATCACTTTGATTTGTCGAGACACATGGTGTATGCTGGGACGACCACCGCTTGTCCACACAGCACGAAACGCATCCGGTGGTATTTTGAAACTTCTCGGAGAGTTGCATTGTCGGGTCAGTTTCCGTGGTCAGCACATTCGTACAACCCGTATTGTGACAGATCAAACAGGATTGGATTTGCTGGGTCTTGACTGGATGGAGGAATTGAAATTACTTGACCAGTCAGTTAATAGTATATGCCAGAAACTACAAGTCGAGAAACCCGCAGAATATGAACCTCGAACTTTACAGTCAAATTGCAGAACTGAAGCGACGCCACGAAAGTTTGTTCTAACCCGGTCTTGGATGCTGTCGGATAGCCAGAGCTGAGCTGAACCTCAAACCAGACGCCAGACCAGTCTTTAGACCAAAACGTCCAGTGCCGTACGCAACATAACCAATAGTGGAGTCTGAGTTAAATCAGTTGCAGTCGGAAGGCATAATCGAGCGCGTACATTACTCAGAATGGGCCGCCCCCATCGTTGTGATAAAGAAAGGAAACGGCAAGATATGTATTTATGCCGACTTTTCAACCGGCTTAAATTCCATGTTAGAGAACCACCAGTACCCTTTGCCTATACCTGAAGATGTGTTCACCAAGCTTAACGGTGGAAAATGGTTTGCGAAACTCGATCTAGCTGATGCTTATGATTTCAGAAGGTATAGCAGATGCTTACTTACAAGTTCCAATAGCCGAGAACTGCAGAGCACTACTGACGCTCAACACGTATCTGGGTCTTTTCCAGTACAATCGGTTGCCATTCGGAGTGAAAACTGATTCCGCCATTTTTCAGCAAATCATGGATGCGCTGCTGAACGATATCCCTGGGGTCGCAGTATACCTGGATGAGGCATTGATTATGGGGTCTGACCCACAAGCATTACTGGCCACATTAGAGAAAGTGTTCACTCGTGTAGAAGAAGCTGGCTTCCGGTTACGAGCGGAAAAATGCAATTTCCTGATGGAAAGTGTCCAGTTTCTCGGGTTCATCATTGACAAACATGGTCGACGTCCGGATCCCGCTAATATAGAAGCCGTTAAGCAAATGCCACGACTAAGGGATGTTGCCGAACTTCGTTCATTTCTCGGTCTACTCGGCACTATAAATCTTTATAGTGCCTTCTTGCCAAGTCTACATCAGACAATGTTGTATCAAGAAAGCCGTAGGAAAGGTAAAATGTATCTCGCAAAATTAACCAAGTACAACTGAGTCAATCCCTTGTTAAACGGAGAGTCAAGCGACAGACACACAACCAATAGGAATGAGTCAGCAAGCCAACCAATGAGATCGAGCCAATCGATGTTGCTGACATGGTTACCACATTATCGTTCCCCCTCCGAAAAGCTGCCTCAACCGGGTTCGTAGCGATCAATAGGTTTCACCGTTCTCGCGGACCGACGCAGCTGACTTCGTGGTAATGGTAACTCAGCCGGGTCTTCGCGCGCGGATCGGTCGGGCTGATTAGCTGGTCCGTGAGCTGTGTGGAGTCGACGCGCGTTGACAATTAGGCCGTTCTCCAATCGATAGGTGCCCGGGCCAAGCGTACGGTCGATGCGCACTGGAGCGGAAAGCGAAGGTGTGCCTTTCTTTGTTGCTCTGCTTTTGACACGAACGTATGTCCCGGGCTGCATTGGTGTTGATAATTTAGCGTAGGAATTTTGGTAAGATGCTATGCGATTTGAAACTTCGGCATCTCTCGCTGATAAAACGCTATGTGCAGCATTTAACTTTGTGCGTAAGGGCCTTCCTAGCACCAGCTCCGCTGGCGTTCTTCCGGTGGCTCTGTGGTCATATGTTCTGTAGGAAAAAAACTGCAGTTAAAACTGCATCCTCCCAGTCCGAACCTATGTGTATGGCTTGTGTAGCTTCTTTTAGAGACCGGTTTAAACGTTCGACCATGCCGTTGGCTGCAGGATTGTAGGGCGCAGTGCTGGAGTGCTTAATGTTATGGCAATGTAGAAAATCTGCGAATTCGCGGCTACAAAATTGTGGCCCGTTATCCGTTACTATTTCATGCGGTAAACCGAAACGGCTGAACAAGTGTTTAAGCCAACGTAACACAACCGAAGTAGTAACTTGGTCGCACATGTGTACTTCAGGCCATCTACTGTAAAAACATGTAGCAACAAGTAGATTTCGCTTATTCGTAGGAGCAGTAGCGAAAGGGCCCATAATATCAATGGAGATTTTGGTCCATGGTTTCATCGGGTAAGCAATTGGCTGTGTTGGGGCTTTAACGGGCAAAGAACTTTTGTCCGCTAATCGGCACACATTGCAATTGACCACAAATGTCTCAATGCTAGATGCCATTCGTGGCCACCAGAAATAGAGTCTCACTCGATTTTTGGTCCGAACTATACCTGGATGTCCCTCATGTACGCAAACTATTATTTCGGCTATCAACTGGGGCGGAGCTACAAATACCGAACCGCGCATCAGGCAACCGTCTACCACTGATAGTTCATGTCGAATTGCATAATACGGAATGAACTCACCGGGGATTTTGTTATTCTTGGGCCAGCCCAGCTGCACATATGCAATAATCTCATACAGTAAAGAATCGTTAGAATTTTTCATTCGTAGTTCCTCGATCGTCAAGGCAGACAGGTTAGCTCTGAGACTGGAAACTAGTACCGCCTCTCTGAGTCTCTCTTTTTCATCCTCCAACCCCACGGGTAAGCGAGATAGGCCGTCAGCAATCTGATTTTGCAAACCTGGCCGGTACACAATTTCAAAACCATAGTTATACAGCCTGGCATACCAGCGATCGATTCGCATTGGGCGAGATCCTTTAGATCCATTGCTGAGAAGAGCTGTTAGGGCTGAATGATCAGTACGCAGAATAAAACGACGACCGAACAGAAATAAATGCCACTTTTCACAGGCCCACACACATGCAAGGGCTTCTTTTTCCCCAACTGAATAATGACGTTCGGAATCTGATAGCTTTCGTGATGCGTAGGCAATAACTTTCTCCTCTCTGTTTTGTATTTGTGAGAGGACAGCCCCGAGACCGATATCAGACGCGTCAGTGGACACAAAGGTGCGGCAAGATTCGTCAAAAATGGCAACTAAGGGAGCAGACGCAACTCTCCTTTTCAGTTCATCAAAGGCATTTTGATGATTGCTGCCCCAAACGAACGACGATCCTTTCTTTGTTAACAGTCGTAATGGATCTGCCACAGTCGCAAAATCCGGCAGATAGCGCAGGTTGTAAAAGCACATTCCTAAAAAGGACTTTAGTTCTGTCAAATTTTTGGGTGTTGGCGCTTCAGAGATGGCCCTGATGTTTTCATCACTTGGTCGAATGCCACTGCGTGAAATGACGTGTCCCAAAAACTGAATTTCTGGTGCATTAAAGAGACATTTTTCTGCGTTCAGACGCAAATTGAGATCACTGAGGCGCTGGAGGACTTTGGGTAACCTTGCATCATGTTCTTCCTGTGAGCGGCCGAAAACACAAATATCATCCATGTAGGCAACCTGCCCATCGATACCTGCCAGGGCGTGAGTCATGAACTTTTGCCAGGCGGCGGGCGCGGAACTCAAACCCATGGGTAAGACTTTGTACTGAAATAGGCCATCAGGAGCGAGGAAGGCAGTTAGGTGTTTGGAATCATCGGCCAATGGCATATGGAAAAACGCACTTTTCAAACCTAGTTTGGAAAAAACAGTTGCACCAGCTAAACGTACAGTGAGTTCATCATTAGATGGCAAAACAAAGCGTTCTACGACGATCTGTTTGTTCAGCGCCTGCAAATCGTTGCATATCCGGACAGTACCGTCTTTTTTCATGACACAAACCATTGGATGCACCCACTCAGAGTAATCGATGGGCTCAATCAAATCATTTGCTAGCATCGCTTGCATCATCATACTTCGCAGGCTATCCCCAACACGCGAATCGTTGCAGCGAGAAGAACAAGCTGGGTTTCGCCCTGGTCGCGGCTGCATCGATCAAATCTTCACACTTCGCCAGATCCTCGAGCTCCGCCATGTGTATCAGAGGCCAACGATTGCTGTGTTCCTGGATATCCGTGCAGCCTTCGATTCTGTCGATCGTACAGTACTGTGGCAGTGCCTTCTGAGGAACGGTGTTCCCGTGAAGTTCGTCTCCATACTGCGCGCTCTATACAGTCTGACCTCGGGCAGGGTTAGGGCTTATGGCATGCTTTCGCCTACCTTTGTGGTCTCCAGTGGAGTTCGACAAGGATGCCCTATCTCTCCGTTCCTATTCAACTTTGCCATTGAGGATGTCCTGAAGAACGCTCTGAGCGATTCGTTGAACGCTGGCGTTGAGCTCCTCCCAGGTAGTCGAGTTGTTGATTTGGATTATGCTGATGATATCGTCTTGCTGGGTGACGATCCACAGGTCGTCCAACTTGCATTAAACCGCTTGACGATTGAAGCATCAAAGTATGGTATGTGCTTTTCGCCATCCAAATGCAAGGCTCTCCTTCAAGACTGGCAGGTGCCTCTGCCTGCACTCACGCTTGCTGGTGAGACACTGGAGGTTGTGGAGAGCTCTGTCTACTTGGGAAGTTGCATCACTGCTGGCGGGGCTGTTGGAGACGAGATTTCGATGCGCATCTCGAAAGCGCGCCTCGCTTTTTCTAGGCTGAGGCATTTGTGGCGTCGCCACGACATTCGTCTCTCCATCAAAGGGCGGGTCTATTGTGCAACTGTCCGTGCTGTACTGTTGTACGGATGCGAGACCTGGCCCATTCGTAAAGATGACTTGCGCAGGCTATCCGTTTTCGAGCACCGCTGTCTGCGGTCCATTGCCCGTGTGTGGTGGCAGCACCACGTAAGCAATGTGGAAGTTAGACAGCGTGTCTTGGGACGTGGAAGCCACTCGCTCGAGGAGCTCATCTCACTGCATCAACTGCGGTGGTTGGGACACGTATTGCGCATGCCTGTCCAGCGTTACCCCCGTCGTGCGTTGTTTGCACTTGCTGGACAGGGCTGGAAGAGACGGTCTGGTGGACAGTCTACAACATGGAGAAGCTGCATGAAAAAGTTGACGAGACAATTGGCCTCGGCCGGTTGTTGTCGACTGCCTGGTTGGGGTCCGAGAGACGAGGATACTTGCTGGTTGAAAACCTTGGAAGTTATGGCTCAAGATCGATGTCAATGGCGGACGTGTGCATCAGTGTGTTGCGGTGTCCCTTCCTCCTCCCCCTAAAAACGAACAAACTGGAAAAAAAAATTTCAAAAACTGTGAGTGGTAAACTTGACAAAAAAAGCATTTCTTGTTGCTCTTTTCTTATTATTCATATTGTTTTCCTATTCAGCCATGATTCCGATGGCACAATATCTGTACCACAGATTGTGTATTATATATATATATATATATATATATATATATATATATCGCTTGCAGGGCTGCAGAGACCGCTTTACGTTTCGCTAGCGGAATGGGTCGAGGTTGACCAATGGCGACCGGTTTCGCACTCGGTTTCAGCTGAATTCGATGCACACCACATGGAATACGGCCGATGGACTTCTGGAAGAACTGCGGATAATGTTCCTGCCAGTGTGCTACGTTGACGGAAGAGATAAGCATGCGGTCGAATGATGGCACAATGTGCAAAGCCACCATAGCATTCCTCCCAAGCAAGGGTCGTCTGTTGTCCGAAGAAATATACACTGCGACATCGGCAATCACAGAATGCAACTGCAAAGGCACGATAATAAATCCCAATATGGTTAGTGTGTTCCCACTATAACTCCAGAATGAATGTGAGGTGGGATGTAAAGTATGCTGTGATAGGTAGCGTTCATAAAATTGGAAAGGCACGATAGTAACTGGAGAAGCAGAATCAAGTTCCATTTCCAATGGAACAGCACCTTTAACAGTAAGGAACAATACAGTACGAATGTCAGCAGCGGGAAACTTCGGTTCAACAACGGATATGGTTACACAACCTGAAGGTATGGAGTCAGCGGTGATTGAATAGATATTGTCTTGAGTTGGATCGGTAACATGGCATTCCGGCGTATCATCATCTTTAATGAGCGCGACAGCCTGCGATCGACAACAGCGGGCATAGTGACCAATTTTACTACAGTTTTTACATTTGAGGCTGCGTGCGGGACAACCGGCAAAATTAGCTTTGTGAGACGTGCTCCCACAACGATAGCAAGAAAGTTTGTCCGTCGGACGTTGCCGGAAAGATTGTACTCTCGCCACTTCAGCTAAGCTGGTGGAACAAAACTGCTTCGATTGCAATGAAATTTCTGTCTTTACTCGGGCTAATTCGCAAGCTCGATCCCACGTTAGTGTGCAAGCGTCTTCCTGCAATAGCCCCTCACGTATGCGATTGTCAGCGATTCCAGTGATCAGTTGCTGAGTGAGCATACCGCCTTCAATCTTTTTCTGTGGAATAGACGAGTAGGCACACGGTCGTACTGCACGACTCAGCCGAGCAATGAAATCATTCAAGGGTTCGCCTGCTTCTTGGTGTATTCGGGAGAAAATATATCGCGCGGTAAACACGTTCATTTGGTAACTCCATGCACGATCGAGAGCATTGAAGGCGTCCATAACCGATTTGCATCCTTGGAGGCCCAAATTATGGAATTGTTGTTGTCCCTCATCTCCGAGTAAATGACGAAGCAGCTTCAATCTTTTACCCTCAGTAAGAGCAGTAGGGAGATCGCTGATTAAATCCAAGTAGTTTAGGAAGGATGTTTTCCAACGGAACCAGGCATCCGATGTCGGTCTGCTGCCGCAATCAGTCCAAAATGGAGATGGGGTTGGATGGAAAGGTTCATTTTTGCCTCCGCGACGCCACAATGTTGTAACAAGAAAGCCGTAGGAAAGGTAAAATGTATCTCGCAAAATTAACCAAGTACAACTGAGTCAATCCCTTGTTAAACGGAGAGTCAAGCGACAGACACACACAACCAATAGGAATGAGTCAGCAAGCCAACCAATGAGATCGAGCCAATCGATGTTGCTGACATGGTTACCACAGACAAGAGGTCCTCTGAACGAGTTGCTGATGGAAGGGAAAGAATGGCGATGGACAAAGGAGTGCCAACGATCCTTTGATATTGTTAAAGCAGCGCTCAGTCCTGAATTACTTTTGACGCACTTCATCCCAAAGTTGGTGATTGTTGTTGCTTCGGATGCGTCCAATTATGCGGTAGGTGCTGTTATTTCTCACGTGTTCCCAGGAGGAGAAGAGAAGGCCATTGCGCACGCAGCACGGTCGCTGACAGTGGCGGAGAAAAATTACAGCCAGATTGAGAAGGAAGCGCTGGCGATTGTTTTCGCATGAAACGGTTTCATAAGATGCTATATGGTAGACATGTCAAAATGATCACTGACTACAAACCTCTACTCTCGATATTTGGATCAAAGAAGGGTATTCATGTTTTCACAGCAAGTCGGTTACAGAGATGGGCAACCGTACTGCTGGCTTACGATTTCAGTATACAATACCGTTCTACACAACAACTCGGCAAATCTGACGCTCTATCTCGCCTCCTCAGTTCCCACTTGGAGGGAAACGATGACTGCGTGATTGCATCTGTCAAATTCGAGTCGGAAGTTCAGCGCATCCTGGTTGACAGTGTAAGGGAGTTGCCAGTAACGTCGGACACGATTCGTGCAGAGACGGCTCAAGACGATATCTTGCTGCAAGTGATAGGGTTTGTGCAGTCCAGTTGGCCTAATGTCAGAAGTTCGAATGAGTTACAACCTTTCATTAATCGATGCGGATCCCTTTCGGTCGTTGACAATTGTCTAATGTTTGGAGACCGGGTAGTGGTACCAAGGAAATTGGGGAAGCGAATACTACAGCAATTTCATTCAGGACATCCGGGAACCAGCCGAATGAAGGCACTGGCGCGAAGTTTTGTGTATTGGTCTCAAATGGATGTAGAAATCGAGCTGTTCTGCCAAAGTTGTGAATCTTGTCAATAAGCGGCAAAGGCACCTCCGAAATGTTGGTGGCACCCCTGGCCCGAGTCGAAGAAGCTCTGGCAGAGAATCCACTTGGATTATGCGGGACTAATCAACGGTCAATCTTATTTGCTTTTTGTTGATTCCTACACAAAATAGCCCGACGTGATTCCGATGCAAAATCCCACCGCCCAGCACACTATCCATGAGCTGAACAAACTGTTCCAGTATTTTGGCACCCCGGAGATGCTGGTTCCAGACAACGAAACCCATTTCACCTCAACGTTGTTTCGAGAATTTTGCATGCAAAACAGAATACAGCACAAGTTTTCGGCGCCGTACCATCCACAATCGAATGGGCAAGCCGAACGGTTTGTAGATACCTTTAAACGTGCTCTTCTCAAAGTGGAAGGAACGAGGGTGTCACGAGATGCAATCCAGCCGTTTTTGAGAATGTATCGAAACACGCCGAATCCAAACACACCGGAGGGTAAATCTCCTTCTGTTTGTCTATTTGGACGAAAAATTAGCAAGACATTTGATAGTCTGTTTCCCAGAAATGTTGGAAAACGCAACGGACAACCGAGAGAGGGGCAGGATAACAGGCTTCGCACGTTCAAGATTGGCGACTTGGTGTATGCACGAAGTTTCCAGACCCCGGAAAGATGGGTTAGCGGAACGGTTAGTGGAAAGCGGGGTAAAGTTATTTATGGGATAATTGTCGGAAAGGACAAGTGGACCAGACACATCAATCAGCTACGACAGCGGCATGCCAAAACTTAAAGACATCAAGAACCAGCGGCAGCACAGTGGGACATACTACTGGATACATTTGGTTTAGAAAACAGCACTGATCTCCAAAGTGGGACACAGCCGGACGCACAGACGCCACACGTCGTGACATGCAGGCCAAGTCGAAGAAGAAGACAATCACGATGGCTACAAGTGGACCCCAGGGTAAAAAGCTACGACCAATCCCAAGTGCCGGAAATAGGTGGGAGCAATCAATTCAAGGGGGAGGTAATAGAGAGGTAAGCGGAGC